AGATGGCTTCACTGATGAATTCTAACAAACATTTAAGACAAAAATATATCATTATTACATAGTCTATTTTAGAATATAGGTGAAGAGAGAACATTTTTCATCTTATTTCATTAGGCTAGCATTACCTGAATACCAAAACCAGATGAAGGTATTACAAAAAAGAAAAATTAAAGAACAATTTCTTGCATGAAAATAATGCAAAAGTCCTCAACAAAATATTAGCAAATAGAATTCAACAATTTATAAAAAGAATTGAACAACATGACCAAATGAGTTTTTCCAGGTATGCGAAGCTTGTTCAACATTTGAAAACTGCTAATGAAATCCATCAGATCAACAAGCTAAAGAATAACAATCATATCATAACAATAGATGCATAAAATGCATTTGTTGGGCAGAGCCTGTGGCGCACTCGGGAGAGTGCGGTGCTGGGAGCACAGCAGCGCTTCCGCCGTGGGTTCGGATCCTATATAGGGATGACCAGTGCGCTCACAGCGCTCACTGGCTGAGCACGGTGCGGCCGGTCTCCAAAAGGACAAAAAAAAAAAAAAAAAAAAGCATTTGTCAAAATCTAACACATATGCATGATAAAAACTCCCAGAAAACTAGGAATAGAGGGGAACATCCTCAAGCTGATGAAGAACACATACCAAAAAACCCTACAGCTAACATTATACATAATGGTAAGAAACTGAAAATCTTCTCCCCAAGATCAGGAATAAGGCTAGGATATCCCTTCTCACAACTATTCAACATAGTACTAGAAGTTCTAGCTACTAATACAGAAATACAAGAAAAGGAAATAAAAGTTATACAGCCTAGGGGAAAAAAAACAAACTTTTTTTGCAGATGACATGACTATCAGTGTAGAAAATCCCAAAGAATCATCAAAAAAACTCCTAGGACTAAAAAGCAATTTGAGCAAAGTCACAGGATATAAGGCTAATATACAAAGTCAATTGTTTCTTATAATCCAGCAATGAACAACTGGAATTTGAAATTAAATCCACAATACCATTTACATTAGCACCAGGAATTAGTCAGGCATAAATCTAACAAAATATGTATAGAATCTTTATAGGGAAACTATGAAGGTCTGATGAAAAAAAAAATCAAAGATAAATAAATTTTCATGGATAGAAAGATTTAATATTGTTAAGGTAACAATCCTCCCCAACTTGATCTACACATTCAGTACAATCTCAATGAAAATCCTAGCAAGTTATTTTGCAGATATCAATAAACTTGTTCTAAAGTTTATATGAAAAGGAAAAAGACCTAGAATAACCAACACAATACTAAAGAACAAAGTCAGAGAACTGACACTACCTGATTTTAAGAATTACTATAAAGCTACAGTTAATCAGTATTAGTGAAATAACAGACAAATTGATCAATAGAAGAGAATAGAGAGCCCAGAAATAAACCCACATGATAACTGATATCTGATAAAAGATCAAAGCAATTGGACAACTGGACATCCATATGCAAAAAAATTAGTCTAAACACAAAACTTACACCATTCACAAAACTAACTGAGTGGACTTTAGACCTAGATGTAAAATGCAAAACCATAAAATTTCTAGAAGACAACATAGGAAAAAATGGTGGTAAGTTTTTAGATGCAGCATCAAAAACACACTCCAAAAAGCAAAAAATTGATAAATTGGACTTTATTAAAATTGAAAACTTCTGGTCTGTGAAAAACCCTGTTGAGAAAATGAAGAGAAAAGCCATAGACTGGCAGAAAATATTTGCAAAACATGTATCTGGTAAGGAACTTATATCCAAATCATACACGGAACCCTTAAAACTCAATAATAAGAAAACAAACAGCCAAATTTTAAAAAGAGCAAAAGCTTCACATAGATACCTCACCAAAGAAGACATAAAGATGCTCATCATCATATGTCATATGGAATTGCAAATTAAAATGAGATGCCATTACAAACCTATTAGAATGGCTAAAAACAAACAAACAAACAAAAACAAACAAAAAACAGTACCAAATGCTGACAAGTTTGAAGACCAACGGAAATGCTCACTCATTGCTGGTGGAATGCAAAACGGTACAACCACTTTGGAAGACAGTTTGGTAGTTTCTTAAAAGGCTAGACATACTCTTTCTTACTATACAGTCCAGCAATTGAGCTCCTAGGTATTTACCCAAATGAGCTGAAATCATATGATCACACAGAAACCTGCATACAAATGTTTATAACAGCTTTGTTTATAATCACCAAAAACCAAAAGCAACCAAGATGTTCTTTGACAAGTGAATACATAAGCAAATGTTGGTACATCCATCCAATGGAATATTATTATTCAACTATAAAAATAAATGAGCTGTCAAACCATAAAAAAATAAAGAAACATGGAGGAGCCTTAAATGCATATTGTTTAGTAAAAGAAGCCAGCCTGAAAAGGCTATACATATTGTATGATCCCAAGTATATGACAATTTGGAAAAGGCAAAACTATAGAGACAATAAAAATTAAAATATTAGTGATAATCAGGGTTACAAGAAGAAAGGGAAATGATAAACAGATGGAACATGGCAATATTTAGGGCAGGGAAATTATTCTGTATGAAACTGTAATGGTGGAAACATGTCATTATGCATTTGTCAAAACACATTGAACTGTACAACACAAAGAATGGACCTTAATGTAAACTATGGATTTTAGTTAATAATATATCAATATTGCTTCACCAATTATAACAAATGTACCACACTAATGTAAGATATTAATAATAGAGGACACTGTGCACTGTAAGTGGAGGGATGTGGAGATTATATGCATCTATCAGTACTATCTGCTCAATTTTTCTGTAAATCTAAAACTGTACCAGAAAAGTCCATTAATCAATTTTTAAAATCTAAAGCACTATTTCAGTGGAGGGATGTGGAGATTATATGCATCTATCAGTACTATCTGCTCAATTTTTCTGTAAATTTAAAACTGTACCAGAAAAGTCCATTAATCAATTTTTAAAATCTAAAGCACTATTTCAAAAAAAAAAAAAAAGCCCATGAGAGAAAATAATTTTTCTCCATGAAATATGGTCTTACATTCAAAGATGAAAATTATGGGACTTTTCCTCTTGAATATGATAAAATACAATCTGTACATTCAAAGTTTAAATGGAATTAGAAACATATCTTAAAACAAATATGGACCATATTTAATTTTTCTCTTATTTTAATTTTGTATTTGTACTATAAAATCTCAGTTAAAAGGGATCTTAGAGGTGATCTATTCCTAGTTTTCATCTGAATTTCCTTTACATTCTCCATAAACCTGATCATTCAGCTCTGTTGCCTATTTTTTTCTATTTTTTATTTTCTCCCTTTTCCTAGTTCTGTTTTCCCTGTGCCCCTGACTGGCCATAATACTAAAATATCTTTATTTTTTATTTTAGTTATTAAATACGGTTTTATTACCGCCTTTTGCTTTTAGAAGCATACCCATACACACACAAAATAAAAGACTCACAAATTGAGACTTATTTTTCTTTTGGAACTTTGCACTTGCACTCTTTTGTGGTTCGATGGCTTTAATGAGTGTGTTGGGGTACACATATCCAATCTGAAGTTCCAATGTAGTTTTCAGTCTAAGGTTGGATTTTCCTGAGCAGTATTTGGTAGCTTCTAAAAGTAAACCTGTTGTATGGACATGCACACTTAAGCCACAAAAATATTTCTTTAGTGATAACTAATAATTCATTCTTCCCCTTCATTTTTCTTTGGGAAAACAAACTGGTCTTCATTATAAACAACTTTCAATAAAACATAGCTATAGTCTACATAACTGTGAATATGATTAAAGAAACAAAAGATTATGGGTCATAGAGAAATAAATCATGAGGACACCTCAAAAGATCCTTAGTCATCAAACTATGAGCATAGATTTAAAGAGAACATTAAACAAGGTCGTGTGGATCTATAGTCTCCTAAGGAAATGTAGTCAAATACAAATAAGGTAATTGTTTTCTGGAATTTATTGCTCTCTTTGAACTTTGTATTTCAAAATATTTAAGGATTTACTGAACTTTTAAATAGTACATCTATCTTTGGGTCAAAATTAGTGAAAGTAGAAACATTTCAGTTTAATTACAAAAATTTGCCAAAACTTCACAAAAACATGTCAGGTTACAGTCACAGTGCTTTGAAACGAGGACTATAATACAAATGTAGTAATATAATTTATAAGAAAAAGACATAAAACTTCACAATAGGAAGAGTAAAATTAGATAATCACAAAATATTCAGAAGTGGAACTTAACAAATATCTTACAGCTGGACTTCGTAAAAATTCTTCCATGTCGCCAGGTACATCTGGAAAGTTGCAATTCTGTGTTGGTTGACTTATAACATTTTACCTTAAAACTTAAGTTGTAATGCAAGGTTTCTTAACATTGGCAGTACAGTATTGACATTTTTGGGTTGGATAATTCTTTGTTGAAGGGGCTGTCCTGTGTACTGAAAGATTTTTAGCAGTATCCCTGGCAACTACCCACAAGATGTCCGCCATAGTTATGACAACGAAAAATGTCCCCAGACATTGCCAGACGTACCCCAGGAAGGTAAAATAACTTCCTCCCCCTTCCCCCAGTTAAGAGCTACTGTTAATTTATCTCCATTTTAAGCAGTCATAGAGCTAGTATATATTCTTTTTCTGGTAAGTTAATTAATCTACAGAAAGAAAGTGAAATTAAAATGATGGAACTCATATATATGAAAGACAGCTTAAGAGCAAGTAAAAAAGCACTAGAAAAAGATAGAAACTTTGAAAACTCTTGACAGATATTCAAGAAAAAATAAATTTCTCAGTTCAGAATTCAAGACAATGCGAAAGAGTAACAGCACTATTTCTGGGTAATAGTTGTACTTTTCATGTTCCATCAGAAAGAAAACATCGCAACTGTCAAAAAAGAATTTATTTAAAATGTCCCATGACAGCATCATTCCAAAAAACTGAAACAAATGAAATCTTACTTTTTTCTATAGTATTCCCTGACCATCTTTGGTTCTGATCTTTAGGAAGTACACTTGGTTTACTACTTAATTCAACTGCAGATTTTCTTACTGGTAAAGATGAAAGTTCCACAGCATTATAAGAATCATACAAATCCCAGGCAGTGGACATCATGCCTAAATAAAGAGACAGAAAGGTAAAAATTATTTTAAACTAAATTCCTATATTTTAGCTTTATGCACTCTAGTTGCAGCAAAATCTAAGATGAGAATATCTACTGTTTATTTAAAAAAACATACTATCGTTTACAACAACGGCAGGAAGTGGATAAAGATGACAAAGAAATAAATCATAAGGATACCTCAAGAGAGCCTTAGTCATCAAACTATTAGCATCTACAAATACTTTAGTGCTTTGGGATTAACTCTAAATAATACCATTTTTTCCAACCCCTGCACCTCCCACCGTTCTACCTCATAATTTTATCAGTCTGTCATCATAGGGCTGCCTTGGTGATATGGACCTGGAAAGCCATGTTGTAACAAGACTTTTATGTTCCTTTACTTCTGGTTAGTATATAACATGTTATTATTCTACAGATCTGTTTATTTGTAAGCATTTAATTCCATTTTCATAAAGTAAAATTTCCTATATAACTAATATGTGAAAAGATCATATCTGTTGGGAAAATGATAGGCCTTTGTTCTGAAGAAACTTCTTGGTATGGTTATTATCTTCTCTTAAATTTTGTGTTTAAGTTAGCTAAATTTATTGAAATCATCAAGTATAACAATGGTCTCCAAATAAAAATTCAAAGTGTTATTTATCTTCAAGTAATATTTTTTTTTAAATCTCTCAATCTCTTTCACTGTTGATTTATAATGCTTCTATAGCAATTATTTTATCACTGAATATGTAACATATATATTCCTACATGCTTAAACTTACCAAACTTTCAGTTAAAAAAATGGTGATTTAATAAAGAATTTCTCTCCTTAAAAATCAAAACAATCTGGATCTAATAAATGCAGCTACTCCATTGCTATAACTATTATTTTCCTATTACATAATGATGAAGCTCTGGTATCTAAAAATGTTTTCAGTGGGTAAGAATGTTAACTCAAATTCCATAGTAATATTTCTGTCTTAATGAACTTATCTTAGCAGCATCTAACAAAGACATGCACAGAATAAATACCTGCTATATTTTGCTGAATTGAAAAGGGTACAATTTCCATGTTCATAAGGAGATCTTAGAAAGATATTATATCTTTGAACACTGAATTAACTTTTTTTTCCTTCCTTTAACTGAAAGTTTAGTAAGTTTAGCATATAGGAATATATTGTTATGTGGCCACTAATGTAATAATTGCTACATAAATAAACATACATATTATAAATTAGCAATGCAAGATGTTAGGATGATTTAAACTTGTTTCTTTTTTGAAGATAACAAATAACTGCTACTTTTAGTTTGGGTACCATCATTACATTTGTTCATTTGAACAAGTTTAATTAACCTAAGAAACAGAAAATCTCAAACCCATCAAATCGTATACATTAAATGTCCTGTTTTGTATATCAATTATATTTCAATAAAGCTGTTAAAAAATGACAAAATCTCAAACCACATGCCCTAATATCATGTACAAGATGGGTAATTAATAATAAATGATTGTGACTTCCCAGTTATACAGTATTAAAGAAAGCTTATTTTAAGTGATATCAAGAAAAAGTATCCCAAATTATATCTTTTTTTCAGCATTTCCGAGTCTCTGATATGTGTAAATAGTTTTTAAAAGGCAAAGAAATGCAGGTGCTGGCAGTTGGCAATTGGATAGCGAAAGGTAATACAGAGGAGATAATGGGCAGGACACCAACAGCATTTGCTACAAGAGAAAAAAAGGCCATTTTTAAAAAAAGAAAGCAAAGTAACAATCCAATTTTTGAGAATTCTATAATTAAAATGGGCTGGTTTTCAGTTTTCCCCCTGCTGCCTTGAGTTTTCCCTATTAAAATAATGATGGTGATGATGATGATGATAATAATAATAATAATAATAATAATAATAATAAATTGACTATTTATGTACTTATTTGAGATAAAGTTCAGACTCAGTTGGTCAGTTCCCACACACCTACACCTAAATATATAAATTGCCAATGGGATCTATATAAAAATTATTCAAAATTTGCACATAAGACAATGGATATCTCCACAATATTATTCAATTCAGGTTTGTCTCTTTATATATGTTATGTCCTTTAGCAAAATTTAGTGACTTTTTTTTTATAAAGTGGTACTGATTTCTTAAGTATATTCCTAGGTAGTTTATGATTTCATTGGACAGGGGATTACTTTTTCCATCTTATTTTAAAATTAGTAGTTATTGATTTTATATATAATATATCTTGCCTTTAACCACCTAGCTGAAAATTACTATTTTATTAGAACTATAATTTGAAAATTTTTTTATTGAGCTGAAATTTATATCACACAAAATTAACCATTTTAAAGTGTACATTTTATTGGCATTTAGGACATTCACAATGTTGTACAACCAACACATTATCAAGTTCCAAAACATTTTTATCACCCCAAAAGAAAATTCTGTACCCATTCAGCAGTCACTCCCCATTTCTCCTTTCCCCACTCCCTGGCATGCATCAAACTGCTTACTGTCTCTATGGACTTACCTGTTCTGGATATTTTATATAAATGGAATCATATAATATGTGACCTTTTGTCTCTGGCTTCTTTCACTTAGCATAATGTTTTCAAAGTTGATCCATGTGGTGGCATGTATCAGTATTTTATTCCTTTTTATGACTAAATAATATTCCATTGTATGTATTTACAACATTTTGTTTACCCATTCATCCACTGATGGACATTTAAGTTATTTCCACTTTTTGGCTAATGTAAGTACTGCTGGTATGAACATGTGCATACATGTATTTGAGTACATGTTTTCAACTCTTTGGAGTATATATCTAAGAGTGGAATTGCTGAGTCATATGGTAATTCTATGTTAAACTTTTTGAGAAACTACCAAACTTTTTTCACAGAAGCTGCACCACTTTACCTTCTCACCAGCAGTATGTAAGGGCTCCAATTTCTTTCTTTTTTTTTTTTTTTAAAGAAAATGGAATTTATTGCTTACAGTTTTTTTTTTTTTGTTAAATTTTTATTTTGTCAATATACACTGTATATGATTATTATGGCCCATCAAGGGCTCCAATTTCTTGACGTTGTTGTCAACACTTATCTTCCTTTTCTTATATTGTAGGCAGCCTAATGGATGAGAAGTAGTAGTGGTTTTGATTTGCATTTCTTAATGATTAATGAAATTAAATATCTTTTTATGTGCTTGTTGGCCATTTGTATATCTTCTTAGAAAAATGTCTATTCATGTTTTGTGTTTTCATACTCCATTATGTCTACAAAAATGCCCATTTTCAACATAGGATATTTTCAACTTACAATGGATTTATAGGGATGTAACGCCATTGTAAGTCAAGGAGCACCTGTATAGACTTCTCAGCTTTCTTTTGGTTACTATTTGCATCCTTTTATACATATTTGTGCCTTTGAATCTAAAGTGAGTGTCTTGTAGACAGCATATAGTTAAATCATATTGTTTTTCTTTTAATCAATTTTTCCAATCTCTACCTTTTAAGTAAAGAATTTGACCCATCTATATTAAGAGCAATTACTGATAAGAAAGAACTTATATCATTTTGCTGTTTGCATTCTTTGTTTTATATCTTCTTTGTTCTTCAATTCCTTACATACTGCCTTTTGTATTTAGTTGTTGTTTTTCTAGTGTGCCACTTTGATTCTTTTCTCTTTTTCTTTTCTGTAATTTTTTAGTTACTTCTTGGTGTTTACAACAGGTATTACGATTAACTTATTAAAATTATCACTATCTATTTTAAATTAAGACCATCTTACTTCAATAGTGTACAAAAACTATGCTCTTATACAGCTTTGTCCCATCCACTTTATGTTGTTTTCACAAATTACATCTTTGCACATTGTGTACCTTTAAAATAGTCTTTAATTATTGATTTATGTGTTTATTTTAAATCAAAAAAAGAATACTAAAATTATGACAATACTGGATTTTGTACTCACATATGTAGTTACCTTCACCACCGTTCTTTATTTCTTCATATGGTTTCAAGTTACAGTCTAGTGTCCTTTTATATCTACCTAAGGGACTCCCTTTAGCATTCCCTGTATGGCAGTTTTATTAACAACAAATTCTTTTAGCTTTTGTTTATCTTGTAATGTCTTAATTTCTTCCTTCATTTTTGAAGGGTATAGAATTCTTGGTTAACAGTTTTATTTTTTCTTTTAGCACTTTTTTTATTAGAACATAATTGATTGTAGATAACTGTGGGGTACAGCATTGAATATTAATTCCTCTGTGCAATATGCGATGCTCAAATCAGGATAATTAGTATATCCAACATTACACAATGCAATCATATTTTATGGCCCTTTACCAATTTCTTGATAACCTCTTCCTCTCTCCTGCATTCCCACCTATTCTCTCCTTTTGAAAGTTCAACAAATTATTGGGATTGTTGTATCTTTATTTCTTTTTTTATTTGTTTATCATTTACCTCCAACTTATGAGTGAGGACATGAGATATTTCTCTTTCTTTTTTTTTTTTTCCTTTTTGTCTTTTTTACTGACCGGTAATGGGATCGCAACCCTCGGTGTTGCGCCCGCTCCGCGCTCAGCCAGTGAGCGGGAACCGGTCTCCACATGGGATCCGAACCCTCGGCGGGAGCGCCGCTGCGCTCCCAAGCGGCGCACTCTCCAGTGCGCCACCAGGCCGGCCCAGATATTTCTCTTTCTGTGCCTGGCTTATTTCACTTAACATAATTTTCTCTAAGTTTATCTGTATTGCTGTAAATGGCAGAATATCATTCTTTTTTATGGCAGAGTAGTATTCCATTGAATATATATACCACATTTTCCTTATCCAGTCATCCATCAATGAACATTTAGATTAGTCCCAATTATAGGCTATTGTAGATAGAACTGCAATAAACAGGAGTGCAAGTATCCCTTTGATATAATGATTTCCATTCCTTCGAGTATATACCCAACAGTGGGATTGCTGGATCATATGGCAGTCCTATCTGTAGTTATTGGAGGAAC